ATCTTTTATTTCTGGGTGGATCATCGAAATAAATGGTCCTCCTAATTGTCAATCATTCTGTTGATATGTTTACGTAAAGCCGTCTTACCTGCTTGTCCCCAGTTAGCTATCTTTTTCTGCACATACGCACTTTCAGGCATATATGTGTGGTGAGCTATGGTTTCAGACAGTCTTTGAAGCTCGCCTTTCTCACTATGATTCTTTGAAAATGGTATATGTATAAGAATTAGTTGAATTCCATATTATTTTGTTTCTCAACTAAAGCTCTTATAAATCGATGTTATGATTAAAGCCAAGTTGCACGGGGTACAATCATCTGATATCTCATAGAATTGTATTTTGAATTTCCTAAGTAACATTTTATTTGTTTTTCTCTGGTTAAGAAATATATAAAAAGTAAAGAGATCATGTATTAAGATATTAAGCCCTAATGTTAGGATAAGGGTAAGTCCATCATTATGGGCAAGTTGAATCAAAAATAAAGGCTAAGTTCAGGTCTTAAGTCTGCTGATGTCAGGGCCATGTTAGGGCTAAACTAACATGGCAGGATACTATGATCTATTTACCTTTAATAAATGGTTTAAATGTAGTTTATAAATGAATCAAAGATCAATAAACTATCAGTAAATCATTAATAAAAGGTCTCTTTACCATTTTTAAGCGGTCGTTATGTTGGCTATTGTAAAGCGCTACATTTTTCTTCTTTGATATCCATTTTATCAGAGCAGCCCTGGGTATCCAAACGTTATACAAGCATTATGTTTCTGAGTGACAATTACATTGCTGTTCCATCATGCCTCCATTATACAAACATCAGTAGGCTAAAAGCTGAATCAGGGAACATTAGCTAAAGCTGTCCATACTTCATCCGGCAGTCACAGTTACCTTTTCGTTTTGATTAAAATTTATTGCTTTTTGATAGCTGCTGTCGACCTAATTGCTGAGAATTTAGTGTAGAAGTAAAGGCTTGTAGCAATTATAAGGAGAGACTCAAACATAAGAATCAAAACTCATCCATAAGACATTAGCACTGGTAAATGAGACTGCTTTGATCATCCTAAATGCCCAAGCTATATTCTACGTTACAATACAATTGTAACACTATCTGTTATGATGCTTTTTTCACAACCTGATATATAAGACATGCTCATGTTGCTGCCCTTTACTTTGAGCAAATATTGGATATTTAATGCAAGGCTAATTAACTTTGTTACCATGGATGGATTTTAATATACCTTCTAAATAACCACCGCTGTTAGTGGTTTCGGAGTTATTATCATTTATTTAGTAATTCAGCCTCTGTGAGTACTTTCAAATATGCAAAATTGTATCCCAGTTGGTTGCTTGATGGAATACTAATAAGCTAATTAAACTTTATTAAAGAGGAGGAGAGTCGTTTTATTCTAATGCACTAAGACACAATATAACCTGACACTGGCACTGACACAAGTGTGGTCCCAAACAGAGCTTTTTATATATAAGTAAAAGGATGGTACCCTTCTTCAAAACAAATCTGTTTTAGCATATCCAGCTACTATTTAAAGGATTATTTTCTGAAATGATCTGAAAACAAAAACAAAAGATATGTTGCGTCTGTCTAAATGGAAAAAGTCATCCCTTAGATATAACAAACACAGGCAAGTCCATTTTACTGAGCATTTATTGCATGAATTATTTTGTTTCAGCTAACAATAACAGCATATTTAACTAGAATTAGTTATTTGGCATTTTGTTTCCTAAACAAAAGTCAAAAGCAGGTTGCTTAAACTAAAGCTGGCTCAAAAACTGTCCAGGGCATGACAAAAATCAGATGGATAGTGGGTAACCATTCCCTTAAAGAAAGTAATGTGGTAAGAAAAATCTTTAATGATTCTTATTGGTGTCAGTTAAATGCTTTAAAAGACCAAGTTGGCGAAGAGCAACAACAGAACTAATGGCTAGGTTTAATGATGAAAATAAGAACTTTTCCACATAAACGAGGAGAACACTCAAGGGATTGAGACTTAGCAGCTGTCAAGTCTTAAGAAAACCACTGATGAGTGAACATGATTTAGAAAAAAAATAGGCTTTAGTTTGCAAGGAAGAAAAGATTAGCCTCTTGAGCAATGGAAGTTGCTGATGTGTTTAGATTTACTCTGTCTGAAGTGATGGGCAGATGGTGCACCCTGCATGACTTGTTTCTGCCATGTAAGCCATTGGGGGAGATTCTGTCAACTGAGGTTGCAGAAGTGGGTCTGCTGAGGTTCTACAATGTTATGCATCCAAACAATGAGGCCAGCTGATAGCTTTACTAATATTTGCAAAGACCGGGTTATTTCATCAGTTAATTTCTTCTCTCCTAATGGAATGGGCATATTTAAAGGTAACCATGTCAGGATTCATCTTGATAAAATGTGTTTTAAGGATTATAAGATGACCACGACTATCGATTCATGACTATCCAGTGTTGTGACTTGATTTCACAATGACTGGTACTATAATCAAAGGTAACGGAGTCCAAAGTAATATTAAACCCACTTTTTTCAGACATAAGTTGCTGTTCTTTACTGGGGCCACTTTCCCAGGCGGAACTAGAATTCAGGTGGAACTAGAATTACCACCTTTCACCCCTGCTATTTAGTCTCAGTAGTCCAGGGTTAACTCTTTTTACACTTACCATTGCAAAAGTGGAATGGGTGGACCTAATTTCACCTGCAGCCATGCAAAGGATTGAAATGGAAAAAGTCAACATTTAAAGAAGATTTTCTGAACTTCCACAAGAATTACTTCTGCAACACAGCTAATTAGCAACTAAAAAAATTGGCTTTAGTTGTTAGAAGCTCTATGAAAACTACTGAATAAATTCAGTTTCAATGTGTTTCAGAGAAATGACCAGGAGGATGTGTCAAATGAATTAGCTGCTGTACGATTTCATTTCCAGGTACGATCAGAATCCAACCATCATCATAAAATGTCTCCTGCCAGTGTGTCTGATGTTGTTGCAAAAGTTAATAACATGTAGCAGGAGTCAGGACTGTTGTTACGCAGCATAACTATCAGTAGCAAAAAAAAAAAAAAAAAAGCAGATGTTTTCCTTACCCATTAATGTATTCAAACTAAAATGATCCTGGTAAAAAATAGGTATACATTTAAAATGGGTATAATACTGTCTGACCCCATCTTACCCTGTATATTGGTTCTGGCTTTATTTACACAGAACCAATGTTTCCTAATTTTTCATGTGTCTGGCCATACACACTGTTCCCCTTACTGCACTGATGGCCACTGAAACATCAGATGAGCACACTGAGGCCAAACCGGGTTCATAGCAAGTTACATGGCTTATAAAAAAAAATAGAGATTACAGCAGCAATTTCCATTAGTTTACTTTTATTAAAGTATGTCTGATTCTGATTATTTTCATTTAAGTAAATTTGCTCACTTAAAATAAAAAAGAGGAAAAAAATGTGTACATTAGCTGTGCAGTATCTAAGAGACCTGCTTTGTTCAGGGTGATGGTACTGCTGTGGAAAAACTAAGATGTACACCCATCAAACGTAATGTTTCGTTCACTAAAATATTTATATTTTGCGATACAGTATAAATACATGTCACTCATTTTCTCTCTCTGTAACTCTTCGATTACATTTTTTTCCCAATTTTCACTAATATAAATTATATAATTTTTAAAGCATTTCATGATTAATATCCATAAATAAAATAATACAATAGAATAGATGTCACAAACAAATGAACAATTCTGACTTAAATTGCATCTACTTTTCTTCTCTGTCCATCTCACTTCTCCAATGCTTCTCCAAATATGCCACTTTAGTACAATCTCTGGATGTTGTTTGTTTTTATGATTCATTAAACTAAATCTTCATTCACAATCAGCACTAGATACTTAAAATGTAGCACAAATATCAGCCAGCTGTGAGATCTCCTTATCTCCTCACATCTAAATGCTGCAGCCATCATATCTAAGAATTTGCTGATTGATCCATATTTACGTTTTTGCTTTGTCAAATACTTGAGTAATCGGACTGCATGGAGACAGGTTCATCTTAAACTGTGTGCTTGTTGGATAACAGGGGCATTACAAATTGGTGTGTTTCATTGGTCTGGAAGGTTAGACTCATGAATAATTTGGATCATCACATATTCTTCTTCCTCTTGGATTCTTTATTTATCTTTATCGGTTTTTGATGCACAAAATAAGGACATTTGCTGAACCTTTTTTAAAGACCCTGTGATTTTATTAAACATATTAATCCAAATACTACCCTTAAGTGTATTTATTATTATAAAAATGATATAATAGTAATATATGAAACTGGCTTTGAAGAATAGCTACATGATGTGCCAGAACTGCTGGATTTTATTTATTCAGGAAAGATGGCTTTCATATCAAGGGTCCAGTAGGGTGAGATGCTATAGAGCTCAAACGAAAAAAAAAAAAAAATAAAGATGAATGTATTCCCTGTTTTTTTTTATTTTTATTATTATTATACTCAATGTAGTATGGCAAGCAAAAACTGTTTCCAGTTTGTCCATATCATGTAACAAAATTTTGGGGGACAACAATATACATTCAAGCCTTTGACTGAGTGTATATGGAGCTATTTTTGTTGTTATTTTTATTGTTTTTTTTAAGTTGTAAAACAAATGATACACCAATAATAAAAAAAATAAATAAAAAATTGAGTCTTTGGTGCTGCATATTTTCTTGTGTGCTGAGAATCAACCACAGAGCAGTGCACAATTCCACAAGCGTATAACTTAGAGGGAACACAGCACATAACCCCGTCCCACTTAAGTAATGGGTGAGGTTCTAAGTGTAAAAACTTTATTTGCTGTTTTATTTCCTGGGACTGGCAGCTAATATTTACATATTGAAAAACTATTCATGGTTGAGAGTTCCCAGATACTAAAATGATTACCTCTGTTACATGCAAACTTTGAGCATGATGAAGGTATGTTTGCCCACGGTGACTAAAATAGAACTGATTCAAACTCACCATTTTGTCCAGTCTTTTTGGCAGCCGGGGCTTGAATTCCTTCATCTCTGATTCTGCCAGGTCCAACCACTCGATCTTTATTCAACAAAATTATAAAGACAAGAAATTAGGTGAAGTTCAGGTATGTTTCAATTTTATGTTTGAAGACAGAAAATAAAAGTAAACTGAGATTTTTTCAAATGTAGTTTTTCTTTAAATAGCTTTTAACATTTTCTATTTGAAGAAGATTTAGCAGGAGGGATGGTCAAGATTTAATTACAGTAACTTAGATTTAAACTTTAAACTTGCTCTTTCGTACAACATACCTCCAGATTAACTAAGGTACACTGATTTTTTAAAATCTATGCATTAGTTAGGTTAGCAATAACTAATTGACAACTTTTTTGGTAGACCTTGCTGGTACTCATTTTTCATTCATACCTGCCATACAGTAATTCTTCATAGCATAGACTCAGTGTTAGAAACATTGGTTGGAGATTTTCATCTTCAATGACATAATGCTGCAGATTATTCAGCTCCTCATCCTGTAATGTCTGTTATATAAATATTTTATTCCCATTATGTTATTTCCAAAATTTGGGGACACACAGGGAAGTGTGATCATGTAAAAGGGAACATAAATCTAAAACGAGACAAAGAAAAATCCATGAACGATGTAAAAAAAAAAACTGGTAAATTATTAATAGAGTGACCAATAGCTGGAAAACGAAAGTAAGTTATTTAAAGCGAGAAGAGGTTATTAGACATGTTATTAAACCTGCAGTGAACTCTTATAAATTAGATGGAGATCAGGAACCGAGAAAGGAACTAATCTTTTCACCATCCTTGATCATTTACTGCATTTGAAAATATCACATCGATATTAGCTTTTCTTTACTAGAAAAAAAAGATCAGTAGGCTATGGCATTAAAAACCAGAGTTTATAAGCTCCATGAACTCATCTGTCTACTATATTTATTAGCAGGTAAGGAGTTAGGACCGTGGGCATATATAAAGACCAAGAAAAGTGTGCGTGGAGCAAAAAGTTCATCCTACTTTTGCCAATGTCCTCCATCTATTCCATCCACTTTTTTCTCTCTCTTCCTCTCACCAGGCAGACCTCTTTTCTCCTCATTACTGGATGACTCTCTCATCTTTGAGTTACCCTCTCTAGAGGCAATCTCTCTCAAGTGCTCTCTGTGGGTCCTGTGTCTATATATCTTTGTATCTCCCTCTGCCCTTCTCCCAAGGGACTCTCTGATGCCAGTGATGCTTTCACAAACCGTCATTTAGCTTGCAGGTTATTGGTAAGATGCAAAAAAACGGCCTTGTGTTCTCAACCTCTGAACGTTTGTACATCCAAATTTATGGTGATCAACAGAAGCTGCATTGGCTTTGGAGAATTCTGATATTTTCCTGCAATCTCCTGTGTGTAAATCCCACAGTGACAAGCTTGTTCAGCACTGTCCACACACTGCAGTTTATTGATTCAACACTTTATTTGGTCTTGCTCTTGTTTGGACGCACCTTTGTAAATTAAAGGTGAAGGAAACTAACAACTCACCGTGCTCACTGTGGTGGAGGCACACAACACCCACCCACTGCTGACCCTTTGTTGAAGCAATATTTCTCATTGAAGCATCCTTGTTTCCCCATCATGGCTGCACTGATATTCAATACCTATCTTGACAAACTTATCGAATGAACTTCGCCCTTGGTGGGACAGTATTTAGTTTTTATTTCTGCTCCAGGTATTATTTACAACCACTTTTGTGGGGGTGTAAGTGTTTGACTGGTTAATTTACTTTTGAATTCCTGATATCACTGCTGCAAGTAAGCGTAGGTTTCAGAAGATAATCCTGTTTATGTGCTCCGCTTTAACAGTGTAAGCACTCATCCTTCTGAAAAAGTGAGATAAGGTTGAGCTCAGGGTCGTGGATATTGAGTAACTCTTTATGATCCGGCCAACAAGCCATTAAAATCAAAGCAGCTAACAATGTTTAAAAGAATGCCTAGAGAGAGAGATAGAGGGCTGGGAACCCTCGCCACATTACTTCAAAATGAGATATTTGTTCCCACACTCCATTTCACACCAACCTGAGGTTCACAATGTTGTTTTGTAGTAATCTCTGTCTCTTTTCTTATCTTCCTAATTTTCTCAGCTTCTAAAGAAGCAGCTCAAACGTAGTTTCATGAGGTCGTATTAAGCAGACAGTGATGGAGTCGGGAGAGATTAAAGATGGACCGATGAGAAATGTGAGCAGACAGAAGGCATATCTGCTGAGAGACAGAAGCTTAGTGAGCTGGAGAAAGAGCTGACGAAATACATAGAGCGACGACAAACGCTCTGCTGGGAAAACACAATGTCGAGTCTAATCAGGCTGATTGGCAATTTGGAGGCCACAGATTTTCTAGGCTTTGTTTGCTGCTGGTGTGGCCAAACAAGAAAGCATCAAAACTAACTTTGATTTCAACTGCCAAAATGGTTCCCATAACAACCGCTTATTCTCTGCAACCTGTAAGGACAAACAATTGGGGTCAACCAAAGTTTTCAGATATTGTTTACTCTTTCCCTCCATCCATATTCAGCCCATCAGTATTGTAGCCACTCCTTGTTTCTTGATGCCAGTTAGACTCTCATGTGTCTTCTGGACTGGCTGTGATAATGTGGTCATTATAATTCCAACTTTTACTTCTCTCCCTATAGAGCATTTTAATCACAAGCTCAAAGCTCTACAGGGCACGGCCGGGTACAAGAAGCCAGATCCTAATAGTCTGAATGCGGTCTAAGTCATTAGGCAGTGTTGCTGATGGTATAGCTTCGTCTGCGCTCTGTTCTCAGCCTCGATTGCTCAAAGGCCCTGCTTAACGCAACTCTCAAAATAAAACTCAAAGGAATTAGCATGCGATAAGATAAATAAAGAAGTGAATGAAAAGTTTGACTTTGAAATAAGGCTAAGCTGACCTGCAGGACTTGAAGGATTTTCTGGATGCTGAAAAATAAACAACTTGCGCCACAGCTGAGGAAACTGTTTGTGTTGGAAAAAAAATATTGCCTGTAGTATTATAACCAGAGATAATCTTATCGTAAAAAAGAAAGAAATAAAGAAAAGGACCCAGAATATAATCAGAAACAATTCTGGCATTTTTATCATATGATTATAGCAAATGTGATTGGGCATTACAGCCAGATCGGCTTTTTCACCTGACCTCATATAAGCCTCTTACTGGGGCTACTTTTGAAAAGCATGAGTGCATATTCTTGAGCTATCATACATTGCTGTCCTGAGATTATTTTTTTCTAATTTTACAAAAAGTCTTTTCCCTTTACAGTTTTTCAATTGATGTTTATACTGTAAACACTCTTGATTTGTTTAATTACTTAACTTTATTACACTGTCCTAGATTGGTATTATTATTAAGTATAGCATGTTTTATCTCTCAATTATCTATTCAAGTAAGCATGAAATACAGAAAAAACATAAAAAAAAACCTGACATGAACTCTACAGACTATTACTAGGTTGCAAGGTTATCAATCATGACCACTTGCATGTTTCTGCATCACTTGATTTCATACTGAGGAAAAAATATATTTTAAATTAGGTGTTTTGGAAAACCAGCTTGCACATAAAACATACAGTATAACGAAAATTAGGCACAGAGGACTGGAGTTGAGGTGCAATGCCACTGTATGCACTAAAAGAGGGAGGATTTATGAATCATAAATTAATATGTTACTTAGACTGCTTAAAGGTTTAGCTTTTATCATACTTTCCACTATGACGTGTTTAAAGGAAGTCACTCACAGCCCAGTTTTGATTTTAAATACCTTAAATTTATTGAGGGGACACGGTTAATTAGAGGAACCCAGAAACCATTTATCTTATGACCGGATCAAAACATATGGGAAAGAAGCAATCCCTAACAGGGAGGGCTGCAAGTCTGTTTACTTTGTAGGTGCCATCTTTGTTTCTGCTCTTTGGTCTGGCTTAATGTTTGCATGTATCTGACTTTTGATTTAAGACCAAATTATATCTTTAAAGGCACACAGTGTAACGCTAGTGAAGATTCTTAATCATCCAGGTCTTAGTTATTCAAAAAACAAAAAAATTAAAAACAATCCTTTTGACTTTGTTTCCAAGTTTAGATATGTTTTGCTTCCCATCCAAGAAGCTTATCAATTCAAAATGTCAGGAATAGAGTGGAGTTAGAACTCCACGCTAATCCTGACATTTTGAATTGAAAAAGCTCCTTGGATGGGAAGCTCTCAGTGTAACTTTTGGCCACTAGGGGGCACTAGACTTGTAACTCTCATGTTTAGCGCTGTTACTGGCCACAAAAATGCAGTATTGTTTCATAATTCAACAGTCAGCCGGCCAGCCTCACATATGTTTTGATTGGGGACTGAGCTCCGTCCCACTAGGTTGGACGGGGTGTTCTTCCAGGTCACATGACCTGGACAACGACAGTGCAACTTTTCCCAACTTTCATAGGCATTATTTCAGGAGGGCATATTGGCCTGAGTAACCATTTAAAACAACTCACATGCGTCAACTCATTAGTTCACAAATCTGTGGTGTGTCTTTAAAGAGCATCACCGAGGGATACCAAACAGAAAGACAAAAAAAATGTTTAAAGACTTTACACAACATTTTTTATAGCCAAAGGTGAAATTGTGCAAGTAAAGTATTATTTCGACTAAATACAACCAGTTGTTTAGGCTTGGTCACCTGATGCTTCTTCAACAGACTGACAAGACTATCAGGTGAAGAGTTGTTAGCTAATAACAACACAGCAGTGTCTGATAAATTTCTAAGCGCATTCTTTAAGCTGTTTTGGATCATAAAATCATTCATCCTTTGTACTGATAAGTCAGTATGGAAGGATTTTTTGGGGGGTGACTTTAAAAGGTTTGTGAAAGATACTTTAGAACATTTGAGGAGTTAATTTTACTTTGGGTTAACATTCACGTGTTGCATCCCCCAACACTACAGAGGGAAAAATGTGCCAGCGAGATTTTTTCAGAATCAGAAAAGGAGACTAATTAACACAGAGTGAGCTAAACTAAGACACAAGGAGACATTTTCCTAAGAG